TACACTATTACAGAAGTGCATTTCTCTAGGTTTCCAAAACCACCTTATTCAACCTTCCCCATCTGTCACCATCTGCTTCTTTTTAGCATGTACTTTTTGTGTGATCACATAAGCATGTGAAAAATAACTAACATTCAGATGATTATCTGCTGGTACATTTGAGGACTGGGCATAATAAAAGTGAACTGCCAAAACGTACTTAACACTTTTAATTTTGTTGGGTCTTGCATGTAAGCTACATTTGATTTTCAAACTGTTTTACAGTTGGAAAGTTGATCAGGTACTGCTAACTCAAGAGCAAAGCTGAGACTCTAAATAATTAGCACTGCATAAAATGGTTTTGATTCAATGAGAGCCAAATCAAATAATAAAATTCAACAGTAAGATTTTAAATGTGATTTTTATGTTCTTTTTAAAACTCTAGGTATGAAAATAGAGCATAGATTACAAAAACAAAGTCTCTTCAAAATATCTCTGGTACAGCAGGTTAAGTTTATTTATTTGTATTATAAGAAAAAACAAAGATTTATTTAATACTATATATACTATTGCCTTATGTCTGGTAGGACTGTGTCTTTGTAACCTCTCAAAAAAAAAAAAAAACATTTTTTCCCCCTTTTTTCTGGTGGTTTGCACAAAAATAATGTTAAGTACATTTAAAATATTCATTTAAAAAACCAGCTTTGAGTCTCAGATAAAGGACAGCTAAATAGCCAATTTTAAATTAATTTCCAACATACTTTTTATGTTTTAAATTCCCTTCATCTATCTCCAAACAGCAAAGGATTTCTATCAGATGAAAATAATTTAAGAGATAAAGGAGGACCACTGCTAAAATGAAGTATAAGTTGCAGTAAAATCTCCATAATTTGTAAACAAGTCTTCTGCAAGCAGAGAAGGGAAAATACTGAGAGTGAGTCATTCACAAGAAAAGCAATACTCAAGAATATACCTAGGTCTGGTAAACAACTACTACATATATGCTATAAATAAGACAGACCATTTGAAGTAAAGGGAAGAGACTAATTTTAGCTTTGACAATTCCTCTCTAAGTCTGACCATGTCTAACCATGACACTACTGCCTTGCTCTCAATCAAAAGTAAGTTTCCCTTATCTGTGATAACAAATCTAAACTCTTGATCTGTGTGTCCAGTGTTCTCCCTCCTTCCATTTATAGTCCCTAGACTCCTACTGGCCCCTAACTAAGCAGGCCTCCATCCTTTTTATTTTCCTTTTATTACACTCTACATAACCCCAACAAAGATATTATTTTCTTGCACTATAATAATTATTTTCCATACCATATCATGTTAGTAAACAGCAAGCTACTTGAGGACAAAAATAATTCACTATATTTGTATTCACAGCAGATTAATACAATACTTGACATTTAATGAATATTAAATATTTCTCTAATGACTAAATGAGAGTTCTTCAGGGAAACAGCCCACAATTTGAGATCAGAAAAAAGGACTTAAATTCTTGTTTTTAAAAGTAAGAGTAAGCACATTTAAAGTTACCCTGATGTTTAAAATAGGCAGTGTTTGACACAAATACTTTAAGGATTGAAACTGCATGAGAATGTAGTTTTAAGATTTGTCATGTTCAAATAATAACTGCAATGATCATGCTACCCTATAAGAAGAAAGTATTCATATTTTAATTAATTATGAATCAACATATATCCACTATGGTTATATAAACTGATTTTAAAGACCAGACATTTGCAATATCAAAAATAAAAAGGTACACAGAAATGTTTGCTTACTTGTCTTTTAAAGGAAATGGATATTTTTTTTTTGTGAATTGTAAACTTTCTATTTAGAAATAATTAGACTCTTCTTGCATTAAATTCTTGGTTTTGTTCTTCAGTTGATGAATTTGCATATAAAACAATCTTTGTTTCTTAGGAGATCATCTGCTTCTGAAATGAGATGTGTTTATCTTCTTCAGAAATAATTTCCCCTAATTGAGACAAAACTAATTTTGTTATTCCAAAAATGGGATATCCACGGCAAATATATAGCGGGGATAATTGAACTTCAAAGAAGAACAAAGAATTTGTTTTTCATGACATTTACAAAAACAATCTTAGTCTGGAAAATATGATCTTGTATTTGAATAAACAAGGAACAATATTAAAATTTTATCTAATCCAGTTACAAAAATGGAGAATTTTAAGCTCTAGATTTTGTAACAGAAAAAATATTTTTAGCAGTCCTTGAGAAAGTAATAGCTGGAAATTTACTCTATTTCAAGTTATTAGCACTTGAAAATCATTCAACGTTCTTGAAATGTAAAGTTAATCTCTATTTGGTAAAAACTATTATAACAACAAACTGGCATTAGTTATTATATTTATAAGGAATACTAATAATCATTTTGAATACATTCCTACTTCTAAATTTATCTTTACCTTTTCTTATACATTTATACAGCATCCATTTTTAAAATTACAGTTATTTACATTTATAAGTGGCACTGAAATTGTGATGTTTTGGGGACATGATATACATAGTTTAAAAAGTAAAAATGACTTTTTTATGATGAACACAGTTAGAAAAATGATACCTCCTAGCTGTATACAGAACATTAAAAAAAAAAACAAAACTCTGATCCTTAGTTGTCTCACATTAAAAAATAACAGGTTTGCTCTTAGGAAAAGTTTATTTCATGTATGCAAATGTGCACTAATACAGGATGTGGCACAAAGTAGATGCTCAATAAATAACAATCTTCAGCCACAAAAATGATTGCTTCAGTATTTGATTCTAGCTATATTAACATTCTGAGAGTTTGAAGGAAAAATTATTTTGTTCCTGCCTCAGGGTTTTTAGAGTAGCTACTCTCTGGAAAACACTTTCTGCAGTTATTATAACTACCTCCTCCTTAACATTCCAGGTCACTGGCCAAATTCATCCTATTTGTAGAAGAATCTATTTTCTAAAGATAGATGCAACCATATCTCCCTTTGTGTATACTCTTCTACAATAGAGAGGTAGAGGATGTTTGTTACTATCCCTTAAAACTATATACACTTAGGTTATGTGCCACATGCTGTAATAGTGCATTGCATATATGAAGTAACCATTCCTGACAGCAAACCTGATTTCTTTAATGTGAAGGAATAAGGGTCAGAATTTTTTTAATATATTCTTAACATAGCTAGGAGGTGTGGATAATCATGTTTCTAACTAGGTTAATCAATAAGCATAGACCAGAAATGATGTTTTAAGATCTGAAACTAGGCCAGAAAAGAAGATGCTTATATGGATGTTCACAGCAGCATTACAGCCAAAAAGTGGAAGCAACCCACATGTCCATCAAAAGCCTAATGGAGAAACAAAATGTGGTATATTGAGACAATGAAATATTATTTGCCATAAAAAGGAATGAAGTACCACTACCATGCTAACATGTATTTGAATCCTGATAACATAACGGTAAGTGAAAGAAGCCAGACACAACAGGTGACATTATCATATGACTCCATTAATATGAAATGTACAGATGGGCATATCTATAGGGAAAGCAGATTAGTAGCTGCCTGAGGAGAGTGAAGATTACAGAGGAGCTAATGGGTATTGGGTTTATTTGTAGGAGGGATAAAAATATTCTGTAATTAGACAACTGCACAACTCTGTACAAACTACTACTGTGCACTTTGAAGGGCTGAATTTTATGGTGTGTAATATAAACTTCCACAAAATTATAAAAAATATGCTATGCTATTTTCAAAAAACTAATGAAACATTTCGTGATGGCTTACTAGGAGAGGGGGGTGGAAAGGAGGCCGCTTCCAACTTACTCCTTAGCACACCCACATTTAGAACACAGAGCCAAAGCAGTCTAAACACCCTGAAACCTTAGGTTATGACAAAGTGCAGGTACAGGGAAAGGCTAAGGATGTGTAAAAGGCACCTGCTCAGTCCTGTGAGGTACTAGTTTATAACTAGCACCAGCAGTCAGACATATGAGTAAAGAAACTTTTCAGATTTTAGCTCCAGCCACAAAGTCACTCCCCTATGGTAAAGTCTTTTGCTGAAGCCCCAAAATCTAAGGAGTAGAGCTAAACCATTAGTACTGTAGGATCTACCCTGTGTGTACTACTGACATAGAAATACACAATCACATGAAATGATTGTTTTTACCATTAGGTTGTAAGAGGGGTATGTTGCACAGCAATAGTAACTGGAAACTACCTAAAAATAGTCTCCACACCACACTCTTCTCTTTAACCATTTTCTTTTTTTTTAATCCTTTCTGATTCTTATTCACTATATGATACTTTGTTATTTACTTATTTTTATGATACTTTGTTATTTACTTATTTTTATTCGGTCTCTCTGCACTTGAAGTAAGTACCCCTTGTTCCTGTAACCACCCAGAAAAATTCTCAATACATAGTATGTGCATAACAAATATTTGTGAGATAAACACATCAATACTTGCTTTGACATAACTCCAAAATGTTACTATTTTGCCATTTCACTAATTTGAAATACTTTCTAATAATTAAGCATTAAAATCCCTTGATAGTGAGAGTGGCTAGTGACATACACCTGAAGAAGAATGATCTTATACCTCTGAATCATGTACAGAGCTGTAAAAAAAGATTACCTCAATAAATTAAATATAAAATAAAATCTACAACCTACAAATCCTTGTTTCTTAGGAAAATCCAAAATGGTTTATGGAACTGTAAATATTCTTTCTGAAATCATTCTATTTTTAAAAAAATGAATCAAAATTGGCGTAAATAAAATGCATAAAGCGAAGATATAAAAACTGACTTACTGTACTTTTGGGCTCATAAAGTTTATTATTTTTATATACTCTTGCCCCATAATACCACATTAAACAAGTAGGAACAAAACAGATTTGATTTATGCTGAATCCACATAAAAGTAGTCGGCACTGTTTTTGTTTTTATTTTTTTTAAAGCTTTTGTAAAACATTGTGTCAAAGCATTTTTCCTATAAATGGAACAGTAACTTACCTCTGGGGCCAGATATTCTGGTGTACCACAGAACGTTTTCATGGTGGCTGCATCTGTGATCCCTTCTTTGCAAAGTCCAAAATCTGTAATTTTTATGTGGCCATCTTTATCCAGCATCAGGTTCTCCAACTGTGTGTTAAGAAAAATGACATGATTTGTTATGTAGTGTTCAAAGATAGAAAAATGCTGCTTTAGAAAAATGCTGAATAAGATATTTTGAAAAAGGATATAAACGTACTTAATGGAATTTTCAGTACTTCCAAACTATGTAGCCCCCTAATTCAAGTGTAAAAAAAGCAAGACTTTTATCAATTACTTTGACAATAAAAACATTGATTTTTAAGCCAATGTGAGTAAAAGTCATTACTTTGTAAGTTTTGAGAGCAACAGTCTAACTGTTCAAAGAAAACATTAATTGTGATCCAATCATTCCCAAAGAGGTGAGTATCTTCTATATATACCTACAGATAGTTTTCAAAAATTTCTCTTAGGAATCTATAACTATTATGAAATACTAACTTACAGAATTGTTTTTTGGCAGTAGTTGTAAATCAGAAATAAATCTTATTTGTAAGGTAAGCCAATATTCTGTTTTGCAGTTCTCCTAAAGTAAGACTGAACCCTTTAAACATAAAACAATTTTGAAAGTCAGTCATTCATATATATTAATAATGAATATTATAGAGTTGGAAATTCTTTGAACCCATTATAAAACATCAGAGAGACACAAATATTTAACTGAGTAGTAAGATTATCTAATCCGTGAAAATTATGAAACACAGGGGGGAAGAAATTTGTGCAAAACCATTTAAAACAGTAACTATTTAACTGATCATTTTTTCTCTCCAAATTTCAACTTCAAATCACTATTATCATCACAATGATACATGTGCTCTGAGTTGTGATTTTGTAGCCTTATACAGATGGGGTCTCTACCCTTGCCAAAAGGTACACATAAGAACTATATATAAGAAGCACATGTTAAAAATGTATTAGCAAGATAAATAACTTATTTCAAAAGCACTTATTTACCACCTAATGGAATGACATATGAAAGCATTCCTGAACACTTAATTAAGCATTATCAAATTTAACAGAATCCACATAAAAACACATACCAACACCAATCATTAAATATGATGACATCCTATGTTGTCACATTATCCAGTGTCTTATAAATTGTAAACTAAATGCAGGTAAGCATGTTGTGCTCACTGAAGGAAAGATCAGAACAGACACTGATTCCTTGGGTACAGTATATAGACATGTTAAACAAATGAACTAAATGTTCAATATATGTTTCCTATTATTCCTCAGAGAAATGTGTCTGTCTTTGACTTGTCTACCAAAAACTGAATGTACTATATATGTATCATATGTATATATACACATATATATATTTATTTATTTAACCTTTTCATAATAAAAGTATTTTATCCAAATTCAGGTGTTATGATTTTTTGTAATGTTTCTCCACTAGGCAAAACCTAAAAATCAAGGCTAATATGCACAAATGGCAACACGTCCTGATTAGTGAAAGCAACCAGAAACATTAAGACTATAGGAAAAATTAAAAATAAAAGGTAAAAAAAAAAGTAGATATGTGCAAGTCATAAGGTGAAATACTTAGAAATAAACTAATTCAAAGCAAAGAAGGATAATGAGACAAGCTAAAAAGCCACATAGAAAATGGAGGCCCAAAATGCACTGTCTTTGAAACCCATTTAAGTTTTACATGTAGGGGCACTCTGTTATGGTTGTCAGCTTGACACCATTTTAGAAGGTAAATCATCTCCAGTATCAGAAAGCTAGCAGGCACATTGGTGTCTCTTGTATCTTCAGTTTAAACTCTTGAACTCCCTAAAATAGGACAGGTTTTCTTCAAATCTTTTTTGTTCATTTCTTTTTAATTATTGTGGTTTCATTAAGAATGCCTGTAACTGAAACATATTTATTTTTATATCTTCCATCACGTCAACACTTCAGCAAAGCCAGCTTATTAGTTGATTCAAGAAATATTTAAATCTTTCCTGTGGGCTCAGATATATCAAATATAGCAGTACACAAAACAGATAGAAATGCTTGTCTTCCTAGATGTGCTTAAAGTTTTGTTGTATTTCCTAATTTTGTTCATGAGAATTGACATTCTAGGAGTCATCTGTTAGTGTTTTGTCACACAAATCACAAGCCCAAAGCAGCTACTCTAAGCACTTCAGAAGCTTTTCCTATTCATGCAGGTGTTAGAAATGGGCATTCATCAGTGAAACAGGTGGCACTGGACACATGTGAACAGCTAAATATTTAGGGGATATATTTGCCTTCCTGTAGAAATAGGCCTACACCTCATAAAACGATACATCCTTTACCTTTTATTTTTTTAAAGATTTATTTATGCATATAAGAGCTGGGGTACAGGCCAGAGGTGTGGAGGGTGAGCGGATTCACCAGAGACAGAGTGGGGAACAGAACAGCAGACTGACCAAAGTACACTGCTGAGGGGAGAAGTGGGTGAGTCAGGAGAGGTCTGCTGCACCGTGTGGGTTGCTCCCTGGCTGGCTGGGGGAATCGAACTCATGCTGCAAAGGCTGCAGACAGCTTCATAGGTTGCGTCTTAACCCCTTGTGCCACCAGGGAGGCCCTACCTTTTATTTTGTGTGTGTGTGTGTGCGTGTGTGTGTTTGTGGTTTATTTTGTAAATTTTTTTTCTTTTTTTAAAAAAATATTTTTTACATCATTGTTCATTTTTAAACAATATTTGCTCCCCCCTCCAGGGTGTAGTCCCCATAGAATTTCCTTTACCAATCCACCTGTGCATCATCACCATAGTGTCCTGTGCAACTCCCTCCCTCCCCCTACAGGATCCCTCACCCTCCCCTACAGGATGTCTCTGATTTATAATTGTCTCTTTTTGTCTTGTTGTGTTTGGTATTATTATAATTTTTTACACTGATGTTTACCTTTTGGAATGGCATTTGGGTTAAAATGCATCATTGGGAAGTGATTGATTTTTAGATTATTTTAAGGCTAACGATTATGCCTCTGAAGTATTGTTTCATCTACCCAAAGAGAATCTTTTTTTTTAAAGATTTATTTTTTATTTATACAAGTGCTGGGGTACGGGCCAGATGCATGGGAGGGTGAGAGGATTCACGAGAGACAGAGTGGGGAACAGAACAGGCACACTGACGAAACACACTGCTGAGGGAAGCAGCGGGTGCAACAGGAGAGGTCTGCCACACCATGTGGGATTCTCGCCAACTGGCTGGGATGGAACCCATGCTGCAGAGGCTGCTGACAGCTTCACAGAGTGGCACTCAACCGCTACGCCACTGGGAAGGCCCTACCCAAAGAGAATCTTGAATAAGATGGAAATATCTAGAAAAACACAAAACTGACATTTCATTGAGTACACCAGATTGTATGAACACTATTTGTGCTGTTTGCTAATAATTTTGTCTGATAAATGTTTATTGCATAGCTTAAAATAGGTAAATAAACAAAATGATACCTCCAAATCTAATCTTGTATAAAGATATATCATAAGGCAATTACATATCCAATCTTGTTAAAAAATAATTTTACAAATATGCATAATAAACTTTCTATAAAATATGGAGCCAATAGTGGTGTGATTCACAAATGTGAAGGAAGCATGGAGTCATAGGGAGATTTTTTCAAACCAGGGCAATGGCTCAGATATAGCAAAAACATCTGGAAATCACTTGCTTTTAGTACATCAAACACAAACATTTTGTCAAAAATTTTTAAGATCCCTTCTACTACGTAAAGGGAGAATCAAAATATTAAAAAATAATCTTTCTTTGGTTCTCCTAAATCTCAAAGCCTTCCCTCTTTTGTTAGTCATAAAATGTAAAATGCATACTATCACTGACTATTCAGCTACTCTCTATAAAGTTTTACTTGCATCTGTTTTATCTCCAAAGTCAATTTCAGTTTCCAAGATTGAGAGTGGGCAGCAAGTTAGGCTTAACCACTACATCACAGATAAAAGGAAAATATTACATATTAAAAATCTGGGTAATACTTAATATTTCTATCAACTACTGAGCTGTTAGCTAGCTTAGAGGAAAGGAAACACACACACACACACACACTCAAACACACACACACTCATCTCATAGTGATTCCATAAAAAAGGTCTGAAGTGGACAGGCATTATTTGACAGAGAATCCTGGGTATGGGTATGTATGGAAAAAAAGGGTAGATTTTGCAATCTTTTTTCCTGTGTGCTTTGTGAGCAAGAAATTTTAAGAAGAAATTACTACGCTTTTTCCTATTTTTGCTGGTACCTAAAATAAAATTAAACTCTGAAAACCCTAGCTCTGATATAGTACTTTCCAATCTTTTGCATTTATAGTAGAATAAAAAATGATCCTGGTATACAGGTAATGTAGCTTGAGTATAGAAACTGATTGGAGACTCCTCCAGGCATTTTGTGGTCTGAGGGGAGTCATGATTTGGTCACACCTATAACCCATTTCTGGCACTTAGGCTGGGAAGCTCTGCTCTACTATACACCAAGCTTATGTTAGAAAGTTTTAAAAGGCCAAACATATCTATCTAGGAATTTTTTTTTTAAAAGGTTGATATTACAATTAAATAAAAAATTGAAAATCGCTGTTCCTAAGGGCTCTGAAGACTATCATAGGATTAAAAACAAACAATTCTTTTATGTGTATACTGAAAATATGGAAAGGAAAACACACTTTCAACCCTTGAAGCAAGTAAAGGATTCCTAATGTACAACAGCAGAAATTCTACTTAGGTTGCTGAGGCATTTGACAATTTATTATAAATAAGGAATATAGTATGACAGCATGCTTTACTTTTAGAGGTGGAAGGGGTTCTTAACAGCCATGGCATATTTGTATGAAAGAGGGAATTCTAGAGTTACTGTCAAGGTAGAAGTGGGAGTTAGAGGATGTGTACTAAGTTCCAGTATGTAAAGCAAGTAAGACATTTTCACTTAAAATGTGGGTTTATTTGGGATGAACATCAGGGAGCTATTGAAGATTGGGAGGGAGGACAGAGGTAAAAAAAAAACAAAAAAAAAAACCTGTTTGAAACCACCTCTGTGCCATGACTGAATGTTAGATATCACACAGAC